GGGGTCAATGAAGAAATGGAAAGGCAAACAGGTAATCAGAAGGAGCAATTTATGAGCGAGTTAAAAATGAGAACACTGGGTTAGCATCACCAATTTAAATTATGTCTGATCTGACATCTTGGAGTAATTGAGGGTTCAGTATTGGCAGAAAAGCTCTAACTAAAGACGCGTAAAGACAGAAAGAGAAAATGTGAAATTTACTGGGAAGAGGAAGATGAAGATTTGTTTGACATAATCTTTTAAGGAACACAGGGAAGACTCTTCACTTTGACTGTTCAGGTCAAGAAACACATGTTCAGGACTGACAGAATGAACTAAGTGTTCACTATATGCCTGGGAAAAGATAAAAAACCCTCCCTGAGCATTTCTTTTGGTCCTCAGCAAAAAGACAGAGTGAAGGATAAGCAAGAGAGATTTACTGGAGCTCTGTGACTCACAGACCACAGACAGACACTGGAAGCTCGTTGTCCTTAATAGTGATCACCTCTGGGACCTTCACCAGGACCTCGAACCTGGGCAGCACTAGATGGGAGAGAAAAAGTCTGGTGTGAGAAGAGTGAATAGGAGCTGCGTACCACACAGCAGCCCAAGCATAGGGCCAGGATCATCTTCATATGAACCTCTCTGTGGTCTTCAATATAATCTCTGCCCCTTCCATAGGTTTTCTCAGCCTTCAGCACGGTTTAGGTTCAAAGGCAATTAAGGAAGTTTGTAGTCCTTATCTTGCCATATTGGCAGCACAGGCTTACGTGGCACCAGACAGCTCAGCAGATCCCTCACCTGTGTCCATTAACAAGGACACACTGGTCCTGTGTGATGTCTTCACAATGCAGGTGGGACTTGGAGCAGCATGTTCCACCTTTGTAATTTACCACATTGAAAAGCTCCAAATCATTGATTCTCGTGGCTGATTCTTACTGTTCTGGAGATCCAGAGTTGCTCCTAAGCTCACTAAGATTATATCACCGTGGGATATCGCCTTGCATACCCAGAGAGTTCAAGTGAATCTAGCCACAGACTCTCAGATCTATATTTTCAAGTGGAAAAGGCAGCACTAGAGCTCAATATAAAGGGGCACAAGTAAAATACATATTTTGCTCCTGAGCATTATGTTACATCCCTCTTCCCATATTGCATCCTGCAGCCCTACATCTCCAACTCCTCATGCCCAGGACTGGACTGGAGCATGTGATGTCCTGCTTCCAGGTGGTGCGACTGAGGGTTTTTTCACAGTGCAAGGAAATGACAGCAGACTGGGTGCACACCCAGGAAATGGAAAATAACCCTGGGTTATACAGTTTAGACATAAATTTGCCTCTAAGATGGGAGGCAAGGCTCAATGTTTCAGCCCCAGACTGTAAGAGAAATAACAATGGGAGCAACTCATAAGAAAAAAGCTAAAGGACAAAGGAAGGAAAAATCAGTTTAGGAGGAGGCTAACAAAGGGACATAGCATCTTTGATTTTGGGGCATTCAGAATAGTCTTTGTGGGACGAGGAACAGGCCATCTGTCACCATGGCAGGTTGCAGCCTATAGCCTGGCTTGTGGTCAATTATTTACCATGCCTGACTCGAAGCCAAATAAGCCATCTCCCATGGACTTCAATGGCAATCTACAGGCTGCATATTCCTGAAACAGCAGGTCCTGATCAATGGATCTGCTGTTTCTGGAATAAACATCTGGTCTTCATTCAGAGTCAGTGAAGAGCCTGGGAGTGTGAAGCACTGGCCAATCAGCCTTCTCAAATGTGCACTACAGTCAGAATGCATGTTTATGATCACCCAAGAAGCTTTGTTAGAGAGCTGGGGGTTAAAAGGCTCCCTGCAGCAGCATATTTCTCCTTACTCAGTCTCTCCTAGCAGTCTTTCTGTAACAGTCATGGATTGTTCTTCAGTCACAAGTTTCCTATCAAACATGTTTTCTAAGCTTTCACAGAAAAAAGGAAGAGCAAAAATAGAGAGGACTATGAATGGAGAAAAAGACCTTACGCAGGTGATGAGAGAAGAAAAATAGAGCCACCAAAATATTGTCACCTCTTACATTCATATCTAGTGCTACTTGCAACAAGCTGCTGGACTGGAATCAACTGAGACAAAACCAGCTGAAATTGATACCAGAAGCCACACACAGGAATTCTGGCACGTCCTGTGCTCCCCAGAGCACTTTGAGCAAATACAAGCTCGGGCAGGTTGCAGAGATGCCATAAAGTCAGCAACCAACCACTTCTGATACTTAGTGCCCTCTGGCTCCGTCCCTATGAACCCCATTGCCTGTTATATTCTGTCCCTCCCTTCTCCATGTTGTTCCCAGGAAATTCCAAATTGAACAGTCCCAGTAATTCCTCTCCTTACCAAATTCCTCCACACTGAAGGTGTGCTCCACATGGGATGAGAAGCTCTTCTGCACAACAATTTTGTAGAAGCCTTGGATGGGATCCGAGGTGAGGGGAAAGGAGAGCTGTGTAAAGCCTGTTTCTAGTTCCACCCCTTGCCACTGGTACACTCGGTTCCTCTGGGGATCCTGCAGGTGAGGGTAACAGTGTCACAAGATAGTACAGGAGAGTGCCAGGGACAGAGCAGTGCAGTGCCCAGTGCATGCACATCCCAGCTGGGAAATACCTATCTATTTATTTAACATTCTGTAATTATTTAACAATCTGTGAGGTTCTGAAAGTACTTACCTGCCAATTCTGCATAACTTGCATGCAAGAAAACTTTTAAACACTTTTGTGTTGTCTCCCCCTCAGCTGTACCTACAAAGGATGGGGTCAGGAAGCTAGGCAGGACAGACTGGCAGGGGAACAGAAGGGAACAGAACTGATATCAGAAGTAAGTGAAGCACATGGAGAAAAGGGGGAGTTTCACCTTCTTTGACTGGCCATACAGCATGCAAAAGTTTTGGTTTTCCCCTGGATGGAATGAAGACTGCTGAAGTACCAGTATACAATCTGCTGAGGAAGCAGACACCTGATTTATCTGTGGGACTGAGAAATGTACATGCATAAGAGTCCTAAGCTAGTGGTTGGGTGGGGGAATGGTGACAGGAACAGAAGAAAGTATACTTCCACATATAGGCATCCAGGTGATCCTCCCTTGTATCTCCATGCTCCTAATGCTGGAGCTGAAGTCTCACCACTACTACATTTGTGCACTGCTCATTATTAACTGACCATCAATAATTAATCCTCTTAGCCCCAAATTTCTTGTAGAAGTCACTAAAACAGCACAGTGGTTCTGTGTAGTTTAATGCATCCTTGTACCTTGGCTGTCACCAAAAGTTTATTTACTCTAGATAGGTGTGTGACTCAAGGTATGTGACTATGTGCATTAACTTCACTGAGATATTATCTCAGGGCTTAGGGAAAATGGAGATGTGAAAGATATTCTCCCAGCTGGAGGTCATCAGTCAAGAAAGGGCAGAAGAGGGGGCCATGTTCCCAAGAAGCCACCTGGGAGGGTGGAACAGTCAGTAAAATGCATCCCATGGCTCTGACCAAATCCTCTTCATCATCACGTTTCAACCCTGCTGAAAAGCTCACCACTTATTGTGAGGGACACCACTGAGCTTCCTTGGAAAAGGAATTCAAGAAAATATTTATAGTAAATGTTTACATTTCAAGCTGGGCTTGTGAACTTGTTGCCATTCCTGTGATGTAGCTATACATCACAGGAATGGCATCAGAAAAGGCCTGAAAACCAGTTTGTTTTCTACCTCAGAAAGGTGTTCTATTTTTTTAAATTCCATAAGCAATAGATCAGTTCAGAAGTAGCAGACTCACGGTAACTTCTGCCTTTGTGCTTCACTAAGATAAATTAGTAACATCCAGGATGTGGATTGATGGACATTTATTTCCTTAGAAGTGCTGACACTTAGGCTGTCATCTTTCTTCACTCCTGCTACTCTTTCCTCTGGTCCACTCCAAATTTCATGGAATCATGTGGTAAACTGCACTGACAGATCTGTTCTGGCTGAAGAAAGTACTCTAGAGTAAACCAGTGAATTTTCTGCCACTGGAGTTGCCACTCTACAAGAATGCCTTGTAGACAGCTGTGAAATGCAAACAAAGGGCAGTACTGGGCTGAGAAGGAGAATTGAGGAAGGGAGAGAAGATGGTGAGGATGAAGGACAAGGCCTACATGAGCTGGCTTAAACGGCACAGACAAACACCATGCTTTACAGCCTAGAGCTGAAAACACAGATGGCCTTCCTAGGATTTAAAAGTGAAGGCTTTCATGGTACTGACACATACACACAAAATTATTATTAAATTATTCAGCTTATTAGAGACATATTTCTGGAGGTGTATGTCTGCAGAAGTTGTATTTGTTCTTGCTCCTTTCATTAAATTCCTGTAGTCAGTAAAGTTATCATCTCACTGGAAGGGAAGGGACTCCACGGGACATCCCTAGCAAAAGGTAGCTCTGAGATGCTCCCCTTGGCCTGCAAATCCCCCTGACCTCCCACTGTCTCACTCTTCTTTCTCCAATATTCACAGATCATCAGTGGCCCACCAGCTCTGCAGCTCTTTTTTGGAAGTTTGTTGATGGGAAGGGAGAATGACAGCACTCTGAAAAGAGGATACAAAAAAGCAGCACAGCCTGGTTTTGGCCTACCTTATGCCTCCTCTGTTGTGATGACTCTCCAGCTCTAGACAGAGATGGTGCAGAATGATGACAGCAACCCCACGCAGCAAGGAACAGTAAAAGGACTGACTACACAGGACTCATTAATCATGTAAACCAAAATAAATTTTGTGCACACTAATTACAGGGTCTGTCCATGTCATCATAAGTTTTTTCAAAAGAAGATATCCCAAATAATAATTGTAAATTTTGGGTTCTCATCTGAAAAAGTGAGAGCTTGAATCATTGAAACATCCTTCCTATTAACTTTTGCCTGCCACTGAAGTTAAATCATTAAAAAAACCCCAACCAAACAGACAAAAAGAACGTGATTGGGAGGGCAGGGGATGTATACTTACCTAATTTAGTTTCTTTGGTTTTGGCAGCTTATTTAACACTGGTCTCTAATTTCAACCACACGTGGCAAGAGAAACACTTAGTTCTGACTGGGAAGAGGAATAAGCCACTTTGATGACCTCTAGCCAAGTGTAGTTCTGTTCACAGCATGGCTTGTAATGGTTAATTAGTTTTCTCCTACAACTCATTCTGTGATCAAAGAACCATTATTGAAACTTGTTTTGTTGCCCAGCTACTCAGCCTTCCTTCAGCCAAAGAGAAAAGGTCACATGCCTGTGATTTTTCCCTTGCCCCTCAGCCTGAAAACACCACTGCTGGAGACTGGTAGCTTTGTGCCTGCACATTCTTCTGCAAATAATAACGTAGTTATCCACTCACCTGAACGTAGACAAAGGGAAACTGTGGGGAAAGAACAAAAGAAAATCAATGTTAGAAATGTTAATCACAGGGAAGTAATTTCCAGATTTGGACTGAAGGGCAGAACAAACTTCTTAGAAGTCCTTTGGGTTGTTCCCTTTCTGTACTTGTTCTTTTTCCTTGGTTCTTGATGGCTAAGGGAATCTTTTCATTTTAGGGCCCTGACCTTTTGTCTTACCACTGTATGAAGATGTGATGAAACACAAGTTTTCAAAGAACTTGTCTGCATGAGGAACTGATTGTCAAATAAAATGAAAGGTGAGCTTGCACCCCTGACCAGTTCCATAAAACTGAATTCTTGTCATGCCACTCTCTAAGTGTGGGATTTCACTCACTGCCAGAAACAATTGCACACCTGTACTACCGATGGAAACTTGTCCCACGCATTTTTTTCAGTAATGACATCCCTGCCCACATGCTTAGCCACATACATTGATTTGCAAAGCTGGTTTTAAACATCGATATGCTTCTGAAAAGGGGAATTTTTTTTCAGCCATTAGAAACAGATGGAATGTGTCCTAGGATAGAATATGGAACAGGTAAAGCATGGTGTGAGAGAGTATCATATGCTTTAATGGCTGTCTTCAGTGGTTCTGGGTGATGACAACAATGGTGTTAATTTAAAAATTAAATCTCCTGGCTAACAACAAGGAATTGAGGCTCTACCTTCTCATTCAGCGGGTAGAAGTCTTTGTCCAGGGAGACGATCCGAAACTGAACTGAAGAGTGTCACAGAAAAAAAGGAAATTCCGCTGTTAAATTTGTAGCCATCACTAGGAAATGACAATGTTTCAATAATTTATTACTCAGATTTATTCCATGGATCAATAGGCTCTGAATTGAGATCTCTAAGTAATAGAAACAATTGCTTCAGGCTCTTTCTCTTGCAAATAGTGAGGGGCAGATAAATTTAGAAGGATAATCAGGTCTTGGCTGAATTGAATTATCTCTTGGGAGTGCCTGTCCTGCTTTGTTGATTCTGGTGCAGCCAAGGGAGATTATGCTTTGCAGTCATCCCAGTTTTGTGCCTCTACTTGAGTAGAAGGACTTGGAGCCTGTGCCTACATCTGGCTGAGATGCTGTGCCTGGAGAATGAAGATTAAGAATGATGAAAGTGACACGAACTAGACCTCAGCTGACAGAAATAAGATTTACTGAGTACCTTAGATCCTCCCCCCCATGAAGAAACCTGAAAACTTTAATATAAGTATGACACCTCTGTAGAATGGAGCCCTTAAGATTTTTTGCTGTCAGAGTAAATACCAGCCCAATTCCTGGTACCTGTCTGTCCAGGCTTGTAGATGGGTTTGTCTGTCTGGACGAAGACCAAGCTCTCAGAATTCTTGACCAGCACTGACTTGCGGCTCTTGAACTGCAGTGTGTCCCCTGTCACCGTCACCGTGAGAAATGCCACTGATGTGCTATTGGATTTTGGAAGCTAAGGAGAATGAAGAGGATAAATGCTTTACTGATTCACCCCATTGCACTGAGCGTTGAAGGAAGAAGTGCTAGCTGGGTCAGAAAGTTCCCTAAAGGGACAGAAAAGACTCAGTGCAGGGAGCAAGAAAAAAAAAATATTACCTTACGTCATTTATATACTTTTCTTAAAGAAATACTGAACCTGATCTTATTCCATCACATGATTTATCAAAAAAGAAAATTAACCTAGATTCATTAGTTAGGGTATGTAATCTGTTGCTTTCATTACTCACCAACTGGCCTTCTGCAGTAAAAAATTTGGAATAAGCTCCAGAAACAGCCATATGACTTAATGGACCTCACTATCTTTAACAATCCCCCAGCTTCTGAAGTTCTCACTTCATGCTGATATTTTTCATCTCAGGCTTACACACATCAAGCAAACATGGGGCACATTCTGTCAGTCAAAGTTCCAAAGACTTCTCTTAACACATGCATGCAGAGAAGTATCATGTGGGTCACAGAATTTGATAATGGGGGAAAATTAGTCCTCCTAAGATTACCACTATCAGTTATCCACATTGAGTTAATTCTTTTGTTTGACTTAGCTTAGAGGTCTCTGATTGCAGTGTCTTATTTCTCATTTCTGGATTGTTTGGATCTGCTATGCCACATCAATAAACATAAGAGATCATCCCACAAGGATGAAATACTCACAGAGAAAGGGATGCAGGTGAACACGTCTTTCTCTGACACCACATCATCAATCAAGCTCCTGTTCTCCCCTAGGTGCTCAAGTGTGGCACTCAGCGTCACAGACTCGTTCAGGTGGGTCAGCTGAACGCAGATTTTCTCATGAGAATCTGTGTGTATCAGAAAGGGCACCAGCACCATGTACTGCCTGTGAAGAGAGGGAAGCAAGAAAGATCAGAAATGTGAAACAGTTTTAAGGCAACAGTATTAAGTGAAGAGAAATTAACAAATCAGCATGCCTAATCCATTGCCATCCCTGTGAATTGCAGTGCATATAACATGAGCATTCATTTTATTTTGGGTTTATACATATTAAATGGTCTAACTAATTAGCCTAAAAGCAGGAAAATGCTTGCAGTAGAAGGAACAATTTCTATGCTAATAGAGAGTGCTTTACAAAGGATGTTTTGTTTGGCTTCACAGCAGGGAGTAAGGATGGTTTGAAAAGTTTCAGGCTGTTAATTGAATTTTGTATATCCCACAATCTCCTTTTGAGAGTCAAAGGCATTAGCTAAAAACAGTTGAGGAAAAAACCCACCCATTTGTCTGGCTGCTCCGGTCTTTGCCTATCCAGGTTTCCAAATCCTTCACATGCTGAGCAAAGATGTGAGTGCTTGCAGTTTGGGGCCTTATTTAGATGAGCACACAAAGGATTTCAGGGTGTAGTGTTTTATTGCAACTCAAGTGTACTTCCATCTTCAAAGAGCTTTTGACAAAGGTCCCTCACAGAGTACCCTTAAACTAAGCTGCCATTCAATAAAAGGGATAATTTTATTAATAAATCAAATTCTGACCTGGATTAATTGGTTGAAAGATAGGAGAGAAGGGGTAGGAACCAGTGAAAACCTCCAGAGTTTGTTGCGACCCCTGTTCTTCAGTACATACCTCACATCTCGGATGTACAATTTTCTCATAATTATGCAGGATAAGGAAATTCTAAAAATTTACTTAGATATTTGTGGAAATTTGTTTTTGTATGATAGAACTGAGTAGCAAAAATAGTAAATGAACTGTTCATAAAGGGAAAATAATAAGTGAGTTTCTACCACTCACACTTGACCACTGTTGGTCAGCCTTGGAAAATTCTCAATCAGTAATAAGTAACAAACAGACTGTCGGGAAGTGTTCAGAAAGGAACAGAGGCAAAATACAGATGCATCCATCCAGAGCTACATTTTTGCCTGGGCTCTGAGGTTTCTGGGGAGTCCTAAAGCTATTGTGGAGGCAGTGGGTTCCAGGCAGTACCTTCACCATGAGGCATCACGTTGATGAAATATAGCGAGGAGCCTGCTGGCAACTCTGCTCAGCCAGTGCTGCTGCAGAAGCTGTGAAAGGAGGGAACTCCAGCCTCCCAGAGAGTGAGTTACCACTTGTGACTCTCTGCTTTCTCCAGCGTTTCCTTTCTTCCACAACCTTCTTACCACGGCTTCAGCCCGTGCTGCTTCCCTAATGCCATTCCCTCTGTCCCCTGTCAGTGGCACTGGCAATGTGACAATAAGATCCAGTCTGCAGAAAGGACAGCATGACCTAGTTTGTGGGGAATCTGGCCTCATTTCTCTTCCTGTTCACTGTTCTGCTGTAATTTTGGCCAACTTGCGGAACTTCCCCTTAGGCTGGCTTCCCTGCCTTTGAAACAAAGATATAAACATGCTGTTTATAGACCTCTCTTTAGGTGTTTTGGGATGTGTTGTTTAGAAGAGAAAGATGAATTAAATTGCCATGAGTGTTTTAAGCAACTGTGGTCACAAGCCCCATGTATAGACACTCTAGGACAAAAAGCATCTGGCTGACAAAAGAGATCTCAGCATGCAATGAGCTGTTCTGACAAGAGAGGCAGTGACTCTGACAGAGACATGCATCAAGGAGCAATAGGAGACCCTGGAGATGGTGGCTGAGGTAAAAATGCTGAGTTGGTCTATGCAGGGAAGGTAATACTGTAGCTTAAGTTGGAATAATGTCTGTCTGTGTATTGACTCTCAGCTGCTTACTGGAACAAGCACCCAGCCAAAGAAGGCGGTGAACTTCAGCAGCCCAAATCCATACCTGCCAATTCAAGTGTCATTATGGCCTCACACTTATGACCAAATGCACAATACTCCCAAGCATGTCCACTGCACTGTAAAACACCTTACATGCACAACCAGAGTAGGAGAATAATACCTTTGGCTACATTCTTCCAAAATCATAGAAGTTTTGGTTACAAAGGACCTCTGGATATCTCAAGCCCACTTTCCCTCCTGGAACAGGATTTTTGCAAAGGACACCACAGATGAAGTTTCTACCTGGGTCTATCTGGGTCACCTGTTCCGGTGCTGTACTAACTTGATGAATATGGCTTTTTGTACTATGCAATCTGAGCCTTAATTGTGTCTCCTCTCCAGCTGGTCACTTCTGAAACAGAAATAGCAGCAGCTATTTCTGCCCGAAGAAGTGATACCCCTACTTGCATAGGGCACAGTAAGCAAGACTTGGTTGGAAGTTTAATTTTTGCCTTCAGTTCAAGAGTTGCTTCCTTTCTGTGTTGTATACAGCATCTGAGCTATACTGCATCCACAGCAAAACCACTACCCTTATGCTATCTAGTTCACTGCTCAGAACTGCCGCCCTTCCGGGCTCTGTCTTCATTCTAGGGACACCAACAAACCCCCCTCTCTCCCACCTCTCAGCCTTTCTTTGTTCTTCCCTCCCAGAACAGGGTTCAGTTAAGGGACAGAAAGTAACCTACAAGAAAGACAGAGAGAGACTATTGCCAAGGGACAGGACAAGGGGGAAAGGATTCAAACTGAAAGAGAGTAGGTTTAGATTAGATAGTAGGGAGAAAAATTTATTCACAGTGGGGATGGTGAGGCACTGGCAGAGATTGCCCAGACAAGCTGTGGCTTCCTCATTCTGAAATGTTTAAAGCCAGGTTGAATGGAACTCTGAGCAACCTGGTCTAGAGAAAGGTGTCCCTGTCCACGGCAGGGGGTTTGGAACTGGGTGATCTGTAAGGTCCCTTCCAGCCCAGGCCATTCTATTATTCTATGTTGCCCATAGGTCTGAGCAGCATGGTTTCACTCCCTTTCCCCCTGATATTGGGCAAGAATGAACTAGGATTACTTAATTACTTAGTTACATCAGATTACTCTAGGGGGACCAGAGGACTCTGCCTGACCCCAAAGCAGATTTTCTTGGCTGATCTACCCCAGAAGCCCCCAAATAGGGCAGACAACTGAGGGACTGATGGTACAGTGTGAGTCAAATGTCCTTCAGTTGCAACTTTACCTCTGACCACACAGCAAGTGGCAGCAGTGGTGCTGCACCTTCTGCCAGTGCTGTGGCAATGCTGGTGGGCAGGAAACCTCTGCAGCAAGCATTCCTGGAGCCGCGTTGGTGAGAGCTGCGCCTCTGCCAGCACTGCGAGAGGAACCACAGCCAAGGTCTAAAGAAGGAGGCTGCTCCCCCCCAGACAAGAGGCTTCAGAGCAACACTGTCTGCTGGGCAAGGCTGGGGTGGGCACGCCAAACTCCAGCCTGCTGTGCCATGCCGGGCTGCCCCTCTGCCCGGGAGAGCTGAAGCTGCGGCCGCGCTGCTGGGCTGCACAGCCCTGGCACGGCTGTCCAGGGAGAGCGCTGGCACCAGCCTCCGTGCCAGAGGAAGAGAATCTAGGTCACAGATCCTCTCTGAGAACCAGTACAGCTGAGGCTGCCAAGGGAAACAAACTGGCAGGAGAAAGGGGAACAAACTGCCTTGGAAGCAACAGGAGAATGGGGAGAAGTAACTCAGTGATTGAAACAAGGACACTCTGAGAAAGGTAAGCACCTGGATCCTGGCATCATGCCCACAACATGCCAGGCCCTGACAGGTTTCTAGGCAGAAGCATGCCTGGGCAAAGATGTTGTGAGGATCCAGGTTTGGTATCAGGCAGCTGCAGGGCAGGACTGTGGGCACTGTGGGCAGAGATTGGGGGGAGGGTGGAAGGAGACCGCTGGCAGAGACAGTGGTGGGAAGGGGTCCCAGGGCTGGACAGCTGGGGGATTACAGGATGGGAGTGGGGAGCACTGTCAGAGCTGTGCAGGAAACTCAGGGCTTGGTTATTAGTGGGAAGAAAACTACAGGGAAAAGGGAGAACTTAGACCTCCCTCCCCCCTCCGCACATGTATCTTACGGTTCTGTGTTGAGAGGAGTATTTCCAGGAAGGAAGAAGAGAAGAAGGAGGAAGATGTTCGGTTTGCTGGGCAGCTTGTCCTTCCCCATGGTGCAGAGCAGGTCGTGCTGAGCCAAGCAGTGCTGCTGTTTTCCTGCACCTTGTAATTCCCCTCCACTCCGTGCTCTGTCAGCCTCTTTATAACTGCTCTCTGCAAACAGCCCAGGGGCTGGAGGAGATAAGGGCTGGGGGCCAGGGCCCATCCGGAAACAGGGAGACGCAGCAAGGAGGAGCTGGAACAGAGGGACAGTATTTGGCCAGAGGCTCTGCAAGTGGGGGAAGGGTATTTATTTGGGTAATGCTTGTATTAGAAATCTTTGAATGATTCATACCCTGTTTTCCTTAACCCATCAGAAATCCGCAATGTTGGGGATGTGAACTGTGTTCAGCACATGGCAATATTCGCTGTGGGCAGCATCCAATCGCAGCAATCTGATTTAAATTTCCACAATACTTCCTTCACAGTTCCTCTTCATCAGCACTTTAAAATATAGTGTTTTGAGTTGGAATGACTGACACAGAAGATGAAATTAATAAGGTAATACAGGTCATCATGAATATTGATAAATTCCAGTCACAGCATGCCTCATTCTGCAGTTTCCTCCAAATCTTACAGTCCTCACTGCTTTGCCTGACAAAGATGACACAAAAATTTGATGTGTCATATACCTCCAAGTTTATGACCACTACAGAAAACACATTTTCCCTTGAAAACAAAGTAAGATATTGTTCTGTGTAATTTTAATCACTTAACCCAATTCTGGTATAGTTTCCTCTGATTTCTTTTCAGTTTCTTTTTTTTTAGCTTTGTAGGTAACTGCCAATTGTCCACAAACAGAGTGGCTTGCTGCTGACTGCAATTGCAGGAAGGAAAGGTATCTGTGGTTGGATGTAAATACTCTCTGTACTATCACAACAGTAGTATATTTGGGAATCCTTGTCTGCTTCAGAAGGCTTAAACAGTTTTGCACCTCTGCCACCAGAAGTAAATAATCCAAGAAAGACACTTCTTTCTCTAGTATGTTCCTGTTCAGTCTCCTCAAGGACTGCAGAACAATGCTCGACCCTCAAGGCCAAAGCCAAGCAATAAAGTGAACTTTAACCTTTGGCTTTGAAGAACAGGCATGTGTGAAAAGAAAAAGCTGTGGAAACATTTCTTGAAGACACTGGTATCATGCCTAAGGTGGTCCATGCACTTTCACCTAAGAACTCCTGTTGGAAACCAGCTGCTCTAGCAAAGAAATGTCCCTCCTTAATGCTTACATCATCTTTGTGTGGTGACAAGTGAGAAAAAATTCACTGTAAAACCCAAGACTTATATGCTCAGCTCCAGTTAACAAATTGTATTAGCTGTTCAGCTAAAGGCAGAAAAAAATACTACAGAAGAAAGAAAACACCATCGGTATTGTTATTTTAAAGGAAATCCAAATTATGATATTAGTTTTCCCAGCCTGAGAAAAAGCAAAAGCAAACAAACCCAAAGCAATTAATTTCATATCACAAAAATGTATGACAGGAAAAAGTACTTAGATAAATCAATGGGAATAATAGCAACACCCAAAGACATAAAAAGGGGTTTCTCATTGTATAGGAGACAAAATGCTTCACAGACCACAGTGAAAGGAAGGTCACCTACCAGAAAACCTTAGACATTATGAACATTTTGCAAATTGCACCAAGCAGGAACAGGAAGATACACAAAGAAATGAAATACCATAAAATGGCTTCACCAGCTAAACTTCAAATGAAACTGGAAATGTCAGAATGAATAAAGATTATCCACTTTAGTTGCTTGTTGAATAATTTAACCTGAGAGAAGGGTCTGACAGCAGATGAACTGCCTTTTCCAGACGTGGACAGCTGGGCTGTCAAATATAACTCATATTTCTGAGGTGTCATATGAACAAATGACTAAATTCAGGCATGGCAAAACCATCAATGAATTATTTTTATCTTAATGCACTTTGTAGATTAAATTGCAAACCAGATTGGTAGCTGAATTTTATAAATGGTCCTATGACCATATTTTGTGTGATGTGAGGTGGCCATCTGTAGGGTAAGCCATATACAAGGTATTTAGAGGTTTTCTGTCTTTCTCAGCTATGTTAAAACAAACAGCCACAGTATGTATAAACTTGGTCTTGCCTTAGAAGAAATTTATACAGTGTGCAGCAAAAAAAGGCTATAAACAAGTTTGTTTACCCTTAGGAATGAGAAATCCACAGTGTGTCTGTTTGATACTTACAGTACACAGCACACACAGAGTAGGATAAATTGTTGAAATCCCATTATAAAATCCATCTAAGGTAACTAGTGGACGATATCTAATAATTTTAAAATGTGTAAACAGGAAACTGCTCACGTTAGCAGATATTTTTGGATATTCCAGAGAATTAAAGATAATCCCTGATGCAGTAACAAATGACAAGCTATTTTAATATATGCTTTTGTACTACTCAGAATTTTGCCAAGGGGGGGGGGGGGGAAAGCCAAACTTTTACAAATGTGTCTCTGACCAGCACTCAGAACAATCAACTATGCTTTTTTTTGAGTCATATGACTCTTCAGATAAAAATTTACAATATAAAAAGATATATTAAACCCATATAGACTTTCTGTTTTCTTTGTCTGTTAAGTTATTGTCTGGACTACCTCTCTCCTCAGGTACAGGCATCTCGTGAAGGTTCTTCTGCTGGCTCTAAGGTTATGTTCAATCAGACTGAACAGTGGAGCTGGGCTTTCCTCAGATGTGCACAATGGCAGGAGCAAAGGCAATGGGCCAAGCTCCATATAGGAAGAAGAGAAATGAGGAGCACATGGAAGGAAAATTGTTTCTCCCAAGGGCTATGTAACAAGAGAACAGGCACCCACAGGTGCCATGAGACATCCATCCCCAGAGACCATCCACACTTCATAGCACAAGGCCATGAGTGGAAGTGCCGGTGTAGAAAAAAAAAACCCTTTTACTCATAGTGTATAGGCATACCAGAGATTTCTCCCATTTAAATTGAAAGTTCACTTAGCTATAAAGCAGTACAACTCCAAATCGCTGCCTCCCTCTGGCAGGCTGCTCGAAGAAGGCAGCAGAAGGTTGTGCCAATGCCACCTCCCTGCACCCATGCTGTACCCACGTGGTGTAGCACCCACCTGCTGCAGAGGTGTGCAGGGGCTCTCGCTCCTCTCCTGTCTCCCAGAGCCTTTTGTGTGAGCTGAGGTGGCCAAGGGGAAGGGCTTTGTGCTTATCTTGGTTCCACCTGCTGGGTAACATGATGCAAGGCCATTGGGCTCCTTCTGTGCTACAGCTGAGCCAGATGTTTGATGCCCCAAACATGAGTCTTCGCAGTGAAGACAGGAGTTGGGGTCAGCTGGTGTGTTTGTCCAGGATTTTAGAGAGAAAGGATGCTATAGGAAAGCCAAACAAGAAAGGCTAGTGGACCATGAGGCAAGGAAATCAGATATTGTCATGTTTAATCCTTTCCCCTGCCCCTCTGCTTTGTTCTGTTCCAAGTTGTTAGGCAGGGCAGAGCTGACATTTCAGTCAGGGGAAGGTGTGCAAGCCATGACAGTGTAACACAGCTGGAGAACACATCATTTATCAGGAACCTTTTTAACAGAGTGTCCTGCTACAGAGCTTGTCTTGGGGACAGGACAAGACCTCTACTAAGCAGCCATGGGCTCTGAAGAGAGAGCCAGGTGTGCATCCCACAGTCAATGCACAGGACTTCCCAGATGTGCTTTACCTTGGCACACACCTTGAGGACACACCTTGCCTTGACAGCAAGGACAGCAAGGGGAACTGGTGGTACCTTGAGCTTATCACTTCTAGAGAAGTGAAGCAGAAAACATCTGGCACAGTTATGCAATTGCTTCCAGTAATAACCCAGCCTTAACCTCCCTAAGGGCAGTGAGTCAAAGGGTAGGAGGCTGAAAAAATATGCGAGGTTAGCACTTTAGCAGCATGCACAGAATCCTGTCATAGCCAGTGGTGATTTTTATTCCCTTCACCTTTGACTGCCTTGTTCATATGTACCCTGTCTTCCCTCTCAAACAGGACTTTTTAAGTCTCCCAACTGCCAGGTTATATACACACAGTGTGACGACATGGGGTCCAGAAGTCCTGCTGAAATCATGTTCTTAAGGGAGCTCCTGGTTTGCCCAGCAGAAGCAGTGGCATGCCAGAAAGGAGACCAGTGTGCTGAGCTACAGGAGTATCAGAAAGGGGAAGAGTGAGACATTCCCTTGAAGGAGGCTATTAGGTCCTGTATTCAATGTAATGCCTTGATTTTAGGATTTTCTTGGCCCTTGAAAGGTCACCCTTTACAAGGTCAAGCAGAAAGAAGTTTTCTCTTGCTGTGAGCGACAGGATTAGCTTACACTGTGTTGCTTTTCCACTTGGAAAATCCTTGAGGAAACTTTTCACTGTTGCTCTGAAAAAAAAATTCAAATGTATGAGTGATATTCCTCAGGAAGCCATTCTCTGACACTTGGTGTTTCACAGCCAGTGGTGCCAGAGATGTGACCACGCTTCTGTGTCACCTGGCTGATGAATCAGATGGTGGGGGTCACTTCAGTGCAGACAAAGCCCTACCTCCCTAATTGTCCACCAGGTACAAATGAATGCAACAAAGAAATAATCAGAGAACAAGGCTGAGTTGTTTGCTCAGAGCAATTTGACATCGTCATTTGTTGGCTGAAGGGTCTTCTGACACATTTCTGGTCTTCTCTGATCATTGAATTGGTTGGTCATTACTCACACTCCATATTTAACACAGGTGCTGGCTAAGAAGAGCTGAACAGCTAAATCATACAGGTGGGGTCTTGCTGTGCTGTGGTCTAATTGCTTGACACTATTATCTGTGACACTGCAGGGGTCACAGAGGATTTGAGTCAAAAGATGGAGCAACCAAACTCCCTGGGCTGAGGATTCCTTTGTCTGACCCTAGCTAAGAATTTGAGGGGCCTAAGCAAGAGAATGCTTCTACACTACGGCTTATTTTTCTGGAGAGACCCATTTCTCCTCCTAGATTTTGCATCCTGCTGCCTGCACTGTGGATGACACTCATCTTCTACTGTAAAATCATTTATGTTCACTTTTTAAAGCAGGTATGGTCATTAAAGGTCTTCTTCTTAACTAGGCCATAACATCAGCCTTTTGCAGATCCTTGTGTGTGGACTCCACGTGAGCAGCAAATCAATTCCCATGGTACAATTAAACTCTACAAAGAATTACTTAACACAAAAGGGAAGTAAGCTTGACAGAGTATTTCAGTCAAAGACACTATGATGTGATTATACTTCATTAACACTTTTTTATCAATAAGAATTACATTTCAGAACAGCTTTTAATGTACTTCTAGCAGAGCCATGCATGGACCCCTAAGACATCCAGAGCAGGTAGAAGGACACTGGCAGACACCCACAGTGAAGCTGGGAGTTTCCCATTTATTGGAGTGTTGCTGACCCAGTCCAATATCCTGCACAACAATTTCAGCTTTTTTAAACTGAGATGTGCGATACCAAGCACAGTAAGCCAGTGTATGTGCCTTTGAGTTGGCAGCAGTATGGTACCTTTGTAGCAGCTCTTGGGCCAGTGAGCCTAATTTTATCACATTTGGACAACATGGTTTTCTTAGTCTGGATGTCTAAAAAATTACAGTCATTCTGATTTCTGAGGCCTGGAACACTCCCCAGGTCCCTGGCACCTCAGGATTATCAGAACACAGAGGAAGAAATGACATTCAGTCTGGTGGGTGTCCCTGGCTTGTTCAGCCCACAATTAATATAGTTGCTTCAGTTTCAGGTGTGTGGCACAAAACCTAGAGCTGAAACACAACACCAAGGTTCCAGACATCTTGGAGGTGTTGGAATGTGTTTTAAAAATATTGCTGTTCCCTGTGGGAGTGGAAGCCAGGGAAACATGACCTAGATATAAAAATCTGGAGGGACAGTGTGAGCATGGGATATTTATTAGCTCTGAATGCAACTAGCAATTATCTGTTTGAGTTGAAGGATAAAACTGGGTAACAAACATTACATTTTCAGCATTCAAAGGGAAGATATTGCAGAGGGAAATGAGCATTGCATGTTTTAATGGCCAGGTTTGGCCTAGCAGGAAGAGAAGATTTCAAAAGTATGATAAAAATGCACTTTATTATTTTTTTTCCAGGACCTTGTTTCTTCCCAGGAAACTATGTTCGGCAGAACAAAATAACATATTTGGCCAGACCTGAGGGGATTTTTATGAGTTCCATGTGAGATCCTGAAGCCTTAAATTAATTGGCCTTACATTCCTCAGGAAGAGATACACCCTGTATCCATATCCATTCAGTCTGCTCTCCTTGTCAACCTTGTTACTGTAACTATTGATTTTGCTTGCTTTAGTCCAGCCTGATGCTCATGTAAATCAAATCAGTTGCTGCAATCTGGCCTGTGTCAGGAATGCAAAATTTACAGCCTTTCTTTTGTTCCTGCTTTTTCTCCTGCTGCCAGTGATGCTTTAATTTTAGAATTCTGTATGGAGATCAGAAATGAACCCAAAGCTATTTCATGTCCCACAAATTCCTCATCTGTGGAACTTGAGAAAGTGGTTTTTAATAACATCAATATCATGCATATCCCGCATGGCAAGCCCTGTTGAGTTCTAAAACTCAAATTGTTTAGTGCACTTTGAAAAAAAAAAATTGTTCTTGGGGAGAGGAGTACCCTGCGTTGACCTGATGATTAATTTTCACCGAGAAAAAAAAAAAATGCAAGCCCATACGCAGCTATTAGTAAATCTCCTGGTGGAATGGATCCTGCCGAAACACATCCTAGCCCTCGGCCCCTGAGCAGTTTGCACTTAAATTCCTGCGGCGGGTCCTGTTGTGCCCCCGGTGCCCGCCTGGCTCCATCCCGCTCCGGGATGCGGCGGAGCGGGACCCGCGGCGCTGGAGCCCTGCGGGATGGGCGAGGGCTGCCGGCGCCGCTGCTGCTCCCGGGAGAGAGGAGAGCATCCGTGTTTCCTTCCCCAGCCCTCCCATGCTGCTGTGCTAGGGTGTTTGTCTCTGCAGAAACCACCACGACTCCAAGCGTGGTGAAGTAGGGGATGACAAGAGGTGCGGGAAAATGGAGGGGCTCTGTGCTGGTGGCTGGTACCGTGATCCATCGTGGCCGGGTTTGGATAAACTCTGGCCAGACGTGTGGACTGGAGGCCTGGCAGGGTGAGATGGAGGATGTGGGTCCAGACACCAGGTCTGGATTGCCAGCTGCCCCTTTCCTCAGCCTGTCCCCTGCTGAGCACGATGCAGAGTCACTCCGTGATGTCCACACCTAAACACTTACTCTATGCCACAGGGGCAAAGGCAGCGCTCTCACAGGCCTGGGGAAAGGTGAGGGGCTGGCCAGCAGCCATGAGCAGTGGGGGCCATCTCTGGATGTGGGGGGATGAACACCATGTGTACTGCAGTACCCACGGTTATCAGCTGCAGCTGAGCGATGAGGCAAAGTGCTGCGGGCAGGACAAGAGTGTTCCTCTCCTCATCCTCCCCCAGCCAGCAGTCATGACATGTGGACTATCATCAAAATGCCTGTTCTGTGACACTGAGAAAAAGCCAATGCCCAGTGTAA